CTCTTGTCGTTACCGGGCGTGCCTGACGAGTAAGTCGAGGCGAGAGTCGAGCTGCATTCTTCCAGGTACCAGGGCTTGTAGCCACCTTGAGTGGCGCTTGATATAGATAGGGTGAAGATACTGTTCGTATAGCCATCGCAGTTGCAGGAGTCCGTGTGGCGACCACCGTTACCGGACGCCCATACGAAGATGGAGCCTTTGCCTTTGCGACCCTGTTGTTGGAACGGAAATTGTTTAATAGGATCTTTGAAGGAGGGTTTGGTGGCATGTTAAGGGATACTCTTGTCTACTTCCTTAACCGAGGTTTCCGATGTGGAAATTTAAACTTCAAAGGGTAATTATTTTAATTCTAATAAGGTTCTGAGAGGAAGAAACCAAACTTGAGAGATTATATCTTGTAAAGTCTGAAGTTCTCAATGTATGTAATAAATTCATAGCTATAGGTATAAGCTTCGGTTTGTTTACAACTTAAAGTTGATTGCTGATGACGTAAAACTTATGCTGATATAATACTACAGAGTGTTTATACTCCTTTAGGATGTAACACATAAGTTCTTGTCTTGTTTATGACATTTTAGTATCAGCTACTAATCAGCTGTTAACAAATATGTTGCTTAAAATCAAAATACTAATATCCTTCATTTTACAAATATAAGCTACTTATAAATTAGACAAGATCTTAAGATTTTTATCCATCAGTCTTCCTAAATCTCATAGTTATTCTAATAGCAATATATTTCCATGGCAATTGTAGTTGTCAAACTTCAGACACCCATTAGCTTCGATTTGTACAAGAAGCTGATGACTCCCTCAATCTTCTACTGCAATCAATATAAGCTTGGACACGAGATATCACATAATTAATCACAAAATATTAACACATCGTTATATCGTATGGAAAAATTAAAAAAAAAAAAATAAAAAAGAAAGGAAGTTGTAACTTACACTGGTTACGCCATAGATAAACGCTCTCCTGGCAAGAGGCCCGGGTCCGTCGACGGTTTTGCCATCATCCTCCGGGCCCCAAGAAGCGCTGTATATATCGATGTGATCAGGATTCAATCCCAGCGCTCTGGCTTCGACGGCATCGTTTACCGGGCCATCGAGCATTCGCACGCCTGAAAACACGGACGGTATGTGCGTCAGATAGCTTTCCTTCTCGTTGCTCGCGCTCTTGAGTTTCCCAGATTTCCATGGAATTCGCGCTTTTCGAGCCTCCGCCGCGAAACGAAACGAGTTAATCGCAAGAAACTAGAATTCTAGTGGAATTTTAATTATCCTTTTCCTTCTATTTCCTCTCTACTTACTCTCTCTCTCTCTCTCTCTCTCTCTCTTTCTCCTCGTCTATATCTCTACTTCTCTTTGTTTCCCTTATTCCAACGATTAAATTCCATCAGAGGAAAACGCATCTCTTCGATGCCGCTGTTATACGTTATTCCGGACGCGTTAAATCGAACACGGGCTGTTGACATGCATTTTAATGGAAACGAGCCGATAATGTTATCGGAACTCGATATTCCCGTGAGACGAAACGACTTATAACCGGCGGCTCGATACGTAGAATGAGTGACACTCTGGTAATTGTCACGGGGACGTGGAAAAAGGAAGGAAATTGAACGCAGTATTCACTAAAGGTGGTAAGAAGATTTGCAATAAAGAAACAGAGATGAGGTTTTCCAGAAGCGATTAAGAAATATGGGTGAGATTGGTGGAGATGGAACTTGGTTGATCTCAAGAGGAAAGAGAGATTTTAAAATGGGATTTTGAAGATTTGATCGTGCAAGATAGGAGGATTACGAAAAAATTGTTTCAAATTTGTTATTTTGATGTATTTGGTAGGCTACTTCGAGGATTTATTGAAAAATCTATAAAAAATTGATAGATGCTATGGGATTTCAATCGTTTTAATTGAAGATGACTTTTTAATATGCCTGTGAATATAGTAAGTATTTTCTAGGTATAAACAGTTATTCTAAAATTTCTTGAGATTGTATAGAATTAATTGTATAACTTTCTTCATTTCAGCCAAAACATATTTTTACATATATGTAGGGATATACCTGACTGGCATAAAAGGAGAAGAGATTCTATTCAATTTTAAAATATATATCTATTACGAGCTAAATGATTATACGACTGACTGAAACTTTCGTTCTTCTCTCCGAGTTTTGAGCCAATTTATCCTTTCAACATTGTTAACACGTCTTTTATTCATTCTCATATACGCTACACATTCATTACGCGCATCCCCACAATGCATCACACATTCTAAGAATTCATTCCTCATTCACACCCGATCCTAATCCAACAACCACTTGCTTATTTCTCGTTTTACAGTTCTTTAATCTTGCCGATACCCTTTCAAGTGTTTCTGCTTTTACATATATATCTATACGTATCATGGAAATTTATCCTATGGAAGTAGAATGCAGTTACAGTTAACAAAAAGTGTACGAATTATTAAATTTATTGTTAATAACGAATTGTTCACAACGTAAATTTATAATAAAAGTGAAAAAGTTAATAAATTGTTCACTACACCCACACCCCAAGCCCGTAAATAATTTAATAATAATTTTTTCTTTTAGATAATAATTTTTTTTCCTCCCAGGCTTTAATTATTTTTCTTCTTTCAGATTTTATTTCCTTCAGTCTATTTATTTTAGTTTGAGCATTCATGTATTGCATTGCAATATGCAATATTTTAAGCATATTTTAAACAAAGGTAATAAATTCGTATTCTTTTCTTTTTTTTTCGTAAACTGTTATATGGTAGCTTCATTTCATTTGGAACTGTGTGATTACGCGTAGCTACGGCACTGTCGAGGCTACAGAAGTAAACAATGGCTGTGTGGAGATAAAATGCCGTATACACGTTATCGATGAATATTATAAATAAATTTAATGGAAATGAAAACTGTCCCGACAATTTTATCCCCTGGTTTCGTCTTCAAACAAACCGACAGAATTATTTTTAAAATTCCAGTGGAAATCAGAATTGCAAATTGCATTTGATTGGTGTTGTAAATACTGCTTTACGTAGCTAAAATTATATTAATCACATTCTTATTTTGTAATCCTTTCTAATAATTTAGAACACCATAATTTTATTAAAATTTTTAAAAAAGCAGTATTAACAATATTAATTTAACTTAGAAATTTGTTACCAGTTTAATATTTGTTTATTTGTCATCAGTTGGTATCGAGAGTAGTGATATTTATGGCGAGCACGTAACTAGGGTTGGCAGCATTGCTAAATTAGATGAAACAATACTCAGTCGCCAACTGTATCCTGAGGAAGTAAGAAGATGGAAAGCGAAAACGAGTGTTTGCATTGATTAAAGTTATAAAAGAAGAATACGTGCCTATGTTGATTTCCATGTATTTTATACTATTACTTAATTATATTAATCGCGTGGAATCTTGTGTATTGTGTAACCTAATTATTATATTTTATTTTCTAATAACTTTTCATTTGTTTTTTAGTCTATCACGTCTATAGGTAATAGATTTCATCGTATCATTGTTGTTTTTTGAAATACTATCATTATTTGTGATGATAAGTACATGTATCACTAATTATTTAAAAATTATATAACATTTGAATTGCTTACTGTTTACCTCTAAAAATTTGTCCTATGCTATTGTTCTAAAATAGTCAAATTCTATAAAAGAATTGAACCTATTCGTTCCTTGATTTTGTAAAACGAAGACAATCCTAGTAAATATGACAAACTCCAACAGATACCAACCCCATCTCCTTCTTAACTGGAACTTGAGACAAACATCTTATCGTAAGAGAAGAGAAAGAGATCGTAATTCATATCACTGAATAGCAGTGAAGTCACTTCTAATAAAGAGGGCCGTGTATCCGAATGAAATTTAATTCGCTGCAGTTGCGTTTTCATTTCGGAACCGAGTACGCGGAAAGGCGGACGGTTATTTATAGGGTGAAACGACTAAAAGTTCTCTATCTTTTTTATTTTCTCTCTCCAATGGTTCCCACTGTCCGCAAGGAAAAATTCGCAATCTCTTACCTCCGATGCTCGCATTGTACGCCACGCCAACGCCGCAATATTGGTTGGAAGCAACCGCAGCGACTTCTCCAGCACAGCGAGTTCCGTGTTTGTTGTCACCGTTGTCTCTTGGCATTGGGTCATTGTCATTGTCATTGATATCCGTGCTAGCTTGGTCATCGTAATTTAACGCCAGATCCGGGTGATTCGTCTGTATACCGTCGTCGAGGATCGACACAACGACTCCTTTACCGGTATAACCCTTTTGCCATGCCGGGCCAAGATTCATATCATAACCGTCTTTAGCTCCACCGTTCTGGAACAAATCAAGTATTATACTTTGATTAACAAGAACCAGAATATATATTGCTTCAACAAACCTCATATTCTTGCAAGTCATCTTCCTTTTTGATATAGTAACTAACAACGAAATTTTTTAACCTCCTATAATACGATATGCATTCGCGAGAAAAAAGTTACATTTTGCTACCGATTTTTGCCACAATTTGAAATTTGTAAACTAATAATTGTTATAAGTAAGTCGTTTACTGCTGGTAAAGTAGTCTAATCACATTAATAACACGCAATAATAGCAAATAAGAATGCTAAAAAATTGTACGCACGTCGTAATATGACTTTCTTGTCACGTGATACTCTGCTTTAACAAATTTAATGGCGGTCGAATTTAATCTTAATTTTACTGCATAGGGATATTTTTATTTATTTCGATAAAATATGTAATAATATGCGAATATCAAATGTATCCTAGTAGAGAGTAAATTAATTAAATGCTATAGGATGCATTTTCTATTTTATATTGTTACCGTAATATTAGAATTACTAGAAATGTATAAATTAGAATAAATATTTAATCAAATATTTAATTCAAACGCGTTAGTTAAATTGGATGTCACCGACTATTGGCGGCGCCACTAACAAACTCAGTGCCGATCGCTGGTGACTGCTTAGAGGGGTAACGTGTTAATCGAGAATGGAAAAATCTGAAGAATAGTTGAGGAATTCCGCACAAATTAAGAAAAAAATGGCAGAGATCCACGCTAAGGACGTATACCGCTCAATAAAGGTACGTTTTACTTCGTTTTAATCGTATTTATTGAAACAGAGATTTTTGAGTTTATCGCGTCCTTTCGGAAGGACCGTTTGGACGTTTTGCAATCATTTCAGCCATCTTTATCAGAGAGCGAATGACGTCATACGCACTTTCAATAAAGATGCTTGGAATTTTTACGAAACGTTTCGATGGTTCTTCTGAAAGGAGCAATGATTATATCTGATTGCTTTATTTTTTATGATTATCTAATTTCAAATCTCTGATTTCACTTTACATACCAGTATAAAAATGTCTAAATTTCCAATGTGAAAACGTAATAGATAATTCGTAATGAGTAATTTGTAATAGGAAGATTCATAGAAAAATATACGTACATCGTAATAGGTCTTTCTTGTCACGTGATGCTCTGCTTTATCAAATTTAATGGCGGTTGAATTTGATTTTAATTTTACAGCGTAGGAATATTTATATTTATTTCGATAAAATATATAATAATATGCATATGTTAAATGTATCCTAGTAGATAGTAAATTAATTAAGTGCTATAGGATGCATTTTACATTTCATATTGGTACCGTAATATTAGAATTACTAGAAATGTGTAAATTAGAATAAATATTTAATAAAATATTCAATTTAAACGCGTTAGTTAAATTCGATGCCACCAACTATTGGCGGCGCCACCAACAAACTCAGTGCCGATCACTGGTGACTGCTTAGAGGGGTAACGTGTTAATCGAGAATGGAAAAATCTGAAGAATAGTTGAAAATTCCGCTCCAATTAAGCAGAAAATGGCAGAAATCGACGCTAGGGACGTATACCGCTCAATAAAGGTATGTTTTACTTCGTTTTAATCGTATTTATTGAAATAGAGATTTTTGAGTGTATCGCGTCCTTTCGGAAGAACCGTTTCGACGTTTCGCAATCATTTCAGCCATCTTTATCAGAGATCGAATGACGTCATACGCACTTTCAATAAAGATGCTTGGAATTTTTACGAAACGTTTCGATGTTTCTTCTGAAAGGAGTAATGATTATACGTGACTGCTTTATTTTTTATGATTATCTAATTTCAAATCTCTGATTTCACTTTACTTTCCGATACGAAAATGTCTAAATTTTTAACGAGGAAACGTAATAGGTAAATCGTAATAGGAAATTTGTTTAGTGAGTAATGTTAAAATTAAAATGTTAGTACGTATTTCTAAGATCGTAAAATCGCCGCGGGAAATTTATTAGGTCGTGATTTTTGTGACGCAGTTATTTCAATTCGATATGTATTAATACTACGTAAAAGTAAATTTAAAAGAATCGTTAAAATTATGTAAGTGACACCTACAGACGGCAAAAAGAACTAAATGAACAGGAACAAATATGGTTCAAAGATGTCTACCGAAAAATTAAAACTAATTAACGAAATATCAGTAAAATTAATCGCGTTAAACACGAACGATGAATTTCGCCTCGCAATTTACAGATTTGTCGACAAGAAATATGTGTGTTGTACACTAGGGCAAAATGAATAGGTGCAATTCGGTAATAACGTATTTTGTCATAAGTGAAATATCACGTCTGCAATACTTGAAATTAATTAACTCCTCTAATGAGCGTGCATAAATATCGGCCAGTTCTTTCGTGTACAAAACCCCGTAATAACAGTAAATCATATTTCGTGTGTGTCAGAAGGAATAAATTTATTGCGCAACAACGTCGGAACTTTTCGATATAATTCTAATAAAATTTTTGTCTATATGACGAATAGCTGTCAAGCGGGAGAGGATAGAAACGACACGCTTTATCAATAACACGAGTATCCCGAGTGACTTCTAAATTATACGTTATATGAAAAATTGTTATTGACAAAGGTTGCATGGTTTTAAGGAACAAATTACATAGTATGAGTATTTTTTTAGTGAAGACATTTGGAAATTTTTTCTTTTTAGATAAATATATTTTTTCTTTTTTACTGCTAAAATTACAAATATTTAATATAATCATTTTTCAGATTCTTCACGATTACTGAATAAATTAATATTCAGAACAAAACTTTGAAGAGAGAAGACCAAGAAATGTGAAGAATTTTAAATTTATATATTCAAAAATTATATAAATTAATTATGCGATTTCATTAGTAGGTGAATATTAAACGTTGGTGAAATTATTGAAGTGGTTATGTTCATGGATTTTATTAATTTTTAAGTATGTTATAGAGGTCGACATTTTGAACAACTTTTTCCTGCAAGAAAATTGGCGATCAGTTTTAGTTTTCCAGATATTCACATAGAATTTTCGATACTACTATATTGCACTTTATTACATATATGTTGTGTATGAATGTGGTTGCGTTTGTGTCAGTAGAAAACCTTCGCTTGTCCGTTGTTTCCATAAACAAATCACGGAGCCTGGTAATCCAGTATATATAACACACCTGTATACCACGCGCATACATGCATGTACAGATCATTATGATAGTATTGAAAGCTGCATAGAAATATCTTACAAACTAAGCCTGCTTGTTATAATATGCATATAAAGGAGAATATTTAAAATATCGATTTTTACAATACATTTAAGAATGAATATAGCCCATGAACAAAGGTGTTTCCAGTAAATATATAACAATTCTTTATTCAATGCACAATTTAATAGTCATAAAAAGTGTATACATTAGGACGGACTAGTATAGTAGTGGAATGATAAATAGCTTTTATTCATTTTTTCGTTTATTCGTTTCAAATATTATTTATTCCGGCTTCGAATATTTTTCTTCGTTTCTACTTCGTTTTCTCCGTTTATTTCTCTGTTTTTTTCTCTTTCTCTCACTCCAATTTAAACGGTACAACGACATCGTAAAAATATCTGGCCAACGCAAGCACCGTTCAATGTTCCATTGAGTGCTTCAACGCAGGCGGTTGTTTGTATTTTCCGCGTATCGTTCATGCGAATCTGCTTATCTCACGGTTGAAAAATCGTAAACCTTATCGAGCGCGAAAGGTTCGCGGGAAATTCATTGAATTTCAATTGGGAGGAAATTTTCGTGCAGCCCAGTAGCTTGCCAACGATATCTCTGCCGGTTTGTCGCGGTTAAGCGGCTGAAATTTTTAACACCTGTTCACGACGTTCTCTACGTGCTGGAAGTAAATACCAATAGGAAAGATACTGATTTAAACACGTGGTAATATTAAAAATTTAAACTTGATGTTTAAAATAGATAGTGTATAATATATATATATATATACAATTATTTTTTTAAAGATGAATTAATTTTTTACAGGGTTTCCTAAAATTCTTTAGATCGTATATTTCTAAATAGGATCAGTTGCAAAATGCGATTCAGGAGATTTATTAATTTATTATTTAATCTTTCTTATGTTTCAACATATTCAGAAACCTTTAGAGATAGTTTTGTTCATGTTTTAATCGAAAGTTTTCCACGATTGTCGGCCTTGTTTTCTGTAATAGCATAAGCTTAAGATCTTCAGTGAAACGAAAAAATTTACTATCCAGAGAAATAGTCTCAATCGATTATCTGATTAATAATACCAGTGAATTCTGAATTAACCATTGTTTCCAAAATAATTTTAAGCTTCGAGTTTATTAATAATCATTTTACCACATCTCCTTATATACGAATCACAAAATTGTCTAGGAAAGGTGAGGTTCTTGAACGAATATCTGGAAAAATAAATGCAGAGTTGCATGACGTAATTGGATATTAAACGAAGGTAATTTTTTCCGAATAACCGAGTGCAAATGTTTTACCTAGGAATCGCGTCGATTCAGTCGCTGGTTAAAACGAGAAAATGGAAAATTTCGATGGGGATTGTTCGAGGAAAAGGGAGGAAAAAATTGCCTGTTAACCAGTTAAACAGAGGATAATTGAATGAGACGGACTATACTAGAAAAATAGAAGCGTTTCGAACGAAGTGTAGAGAATATTTAACAAGACCATGTCGAAACTATGATACTTCGAATTATCTCGTCGAAAATAAAAGGTTCCACGTAACTGTAAGAAATGTAATTAAGAGAGAAGAATGATAGGATAAATTTATTAAAGTGTAAGAAAACGAAGATTTAGACTTTAGAATCACCTTTATATTGAAAACGGTTTAAATAAAATTTTAGAAATAGTAAAGTAAGATTTAGGAAATAGGATAGATAATATCGTGAAAAAAATAAATAGGATATTTATATGTAAAGATTAGTGGTTGAAGAGCTATTTTATATTTTTTTATGGTAGATATTATAGTTTCCTGTTCCATAATAATAGAATATAATGTTCTTTTATCTTCCTTCTTCAACTACTGTGTCCTAATATGTTTGTACATAAATATATAGTTAATGTGCAGTGTAAAGCATATAATCACACAAGATAAGAGTTTCATGTAGCTTTAAACTAGGTTTATCTAATCTTAATTTACTCCAGTTTATATTACTCCAGTATATATTAAGAAAACATCAAGGAAGTAACTTTATTTCTATAAATATGTATAAGATGTAGAAGTAACTTTCTTTGTTTAAACTCAAGTACAGTATATCTATATTTTATTGGATCATCTTCATATTTAATTAGCATATTGGATCTCTTGTCTTCTAATTAACAACCTTTCAGATTTTCCATTAATAAAGTTATTTTCTTCATAATAATAACCAGAGAGGTAATGAATGTGTTTGCTACTATTGATGCATATGATGTGTATTTCAATAAAAACATTTGTTATTAGAAACTTACAGTAGCGTGTTAACAACGTGGCTCTCTTACCACAAGCAATAATTTGGAACTTGAAAAATTCTATTCCATAGAATACATACACTTCTTAAAGGTAATTTAAATAATTTAAAATTTTCTTATAATTTATATTTTAATATTTCTGTGTAAATCAGATTAATTACAATATAATATTTTTTAGAATTATTCTGCTAAAGAGAATCGTCCCATCGCTTGAAGTGACACCAGCAGAATCTACTGACAACAAATAGACCAGCAACTGAAATTCTTCACGAAGTTTTTCATGCAACAATATGCAGCTTCTCGGAACGGATGAACCTATTTTACCAGCAGCGAATACGGTAATACAATTCTCTCTTTATATCCCAGTTAGACTTAAGCTTATTTCTCGGAAAGCAGAAACCTGAAGCAACACTATCGTATCGATATTCCGTTGCACGGTGGGAACGATTCATCCGTTGTCGATACGGAGGAGAAATTTGAGCGCGGCCAGAGGCCATGCTTTCTCATGCGCCGCTGTTCATAATTCTCTGCACGTCGCCCGAAACGATCGTTTTCGGTATAGTTAGCAGCGATCGCTGCCCCTGTCGTTTCTGGAATTAATGGCAGGAATTCGATATATGCTACGCGATGTCGACGATCTGATGCTTTTTATTAATAAACAAGATTTCGTTCAGACAAATTTATTAAGGTCAAGTGATTTTTGAATGTATGATGCAGATAGGATTCTATTTGAAAGTGAAAATAGATATAGATCAACAGAGATAGAATCTGGAAGAGAGTGTACTTAGTTCTTTGCCTGTCTTTTTCTTATGTTTTCATTTCTTGTACATACATTTTATCCAAGCTGTTTTGAATTTGAATGATTGAATTGTGTTAGTATGTTTCTTGAGGTGGATTATAGAATTCTCTATTAAATCCACTGCATCTAACGTAAGTTTCTTTTGATTTTAATTCTATTCTATGTGTTATATATAAGCAGTATTTTGTACTTCATTTCATATATTATAATATTTTATTTCAGGAAAATTTTGGTCCATGCGTTTCTACACAAGCACTCTTCTGTACATCACCGGATCAAGTCACATGGTATTTTATATTATTTTTTTACAAAAATTGTTTAGCATATTTTATTGGAAAACAGAATTTTGAATAATTTCTGGCTATCGCGTGGATAATCGATTCAGGTGATCAATGTATTGATACTTAACGAACCGAATGATGGAAACTCGAACAAACAATTGGATATTATTGGATATTCCCGAATAACGATCGTTTTTTGATTGTTCACATAAAAACAGAATTTTGAAAAATTGTTTCATCAACGAAATCCCAACGATATCGAGCATTCTTTTTGTCACAACCAATGGTCGTATTTCGCCGAGCGTTATGTATTCTTCTCCGTGTTAATTGCAGTACGATCGAATAGTAACATTATCAGTTTGGAATTATTAGATTTCCGCGTAATATTGTTCCAAACGACGTGTAATTGTATAATTATGTACGATATGTTATACCATCCTATTTAACGGATTTATACGTTGATTTCTGTTCTTTACGTTCGTCGTGTTGTAGATATGTAGTATATTGTTACCGTCAATTGTAATATGAGCTACACGATTGTAATTCTAGGTATTGTAGAGATGTTTGTTGTTGCTACTGATTAAAACAGTAATTACGTTAATATTTCTAAATTGTCTTTTCTGTTCGTTTTGTTCATTGTGTTATAGGGATATTTAGTGTATTGTTAGCAGTAGGTGTAATATTAATTGCATAATTTAATAATTCTGGAATTATTATATAATAATATAATGTAATATAATTTTAGAATTATTATGTAATGCAATGTAATATAATATAATATAATATAATATAATTTAAAAATTATTATATAAATAGAGTATATAATAATTTATTATGTACTTTATTATTGTAATTTATTATTAAGTACATAATAATTTATAAAATTATAAAGTTAAACTAAATTCAATGTATAGGTTGAAAGTTTAGAAATTAGGACTTCTTCAATATTAATAACCCAATTTAAGGTATACTCCTTTGTGTAAATAAAATAAGGGATTCACTTCAGCTATTTTGTATTCAACAATATTCGTATCACAAAATGAAAAATTAATTAAAATTACAAGTTGCACAAACTTGACACTTAATGAAATTAAAAATTTGATAGAATTTACAAATTATATCCAAACTTATTGTTACACAAGTGTTACCTGTACAAAGTGGGTCATGTCAAGACTCGAAATAACTCATAAAATGTTTATGTACTTGACGAAAAAATGTCTCGGATAAAAGTTGTGCAGTTTCGAAGTGGACATTCACTATTTTATATTGCCAAGTATATTATAATCGGTTTTACATTGTTCTACTTTCTTATCGTTATAACAATCTCTTTCAATGGGCGTGCCTCCTAAGTGAGGATAATTTATTTCACGATACTCCAGTAATTATTTATTTTGAGCCTCACTTTCTCAATAAAAGAGCAAAACGATGTAAAACCGATTATACTATTATTCATTTCAAAACGATGCATTTTTATCCAAAACATTTGATCCTACAGTAAATATTTTACGAACCATTTTGAGTCTTCGTGTTTCGTTACAGCCTGATCAAAAAGTACATCACCAATTCGAATAACAAAGTAATTTTTACAAATTTCAATTCCGAGTAATAAATATCGGCGAAAGGGGGAACAAAAACCGATTCGATAAATCGAAAGGACGAATTGGATCCCGAATACGTTATAAGTGCTGTCGGACGTCGTTAAGTCCGCCACGTTTGGGGAACGTAGTCCCGTCACGTAGTTCGTTTTGGTCGAGGTTCCAGAGAAGTAAAATCGAAGGGCCCACTTACCAGGTACCACTGTTCCTTAAAGAGCGGATCCGTGAACAGGTTCTGAAGAGGCACGCCTCTGTTTCTTTGTCGATGGAACGTGGCCTGCCTAGGACGTGGGCCGAACTCGTCGAAAAACGCCGGATAATCGGCGAACGCGAACGACGTGGGCACGAAGTCCCTCTTCTTCCGTTTCTTTTCGTGCTGCTGTTGGAACCATCGTACCTGGAAAAAACAGCCGGTGATTTTTCTTTGAACGCTCATGTATGGGATTGGGGAACATTCGAGGCAACGAGCGATACGTGTTCTTCCGCATGGTATATGTATTTGGCAATAGACGTATAACATTATAGCAAGTACTCAAGAAAAGGACAGTTGGATATTTTAGCGATTTCTCAAAGTTTGGGGTGTGAGTAACTTGATGCTTCGACAGTGGAATTAATTAACAAATTTTGCTCAGAGACATGTGTGAGATTTTTATTGTTCGAGGTGATTCTGAATAGGGTAATGAGTACAAAATATATATTTTACATACTCAAAAGCTAAGGGACCAAGTAGTGAGTTTAGCTATACATGTATAGTATTTGCAATAGAAATATCGAGATAATCGTAAAGATTCAGGATTAGGTTTTTACGTGATGTTTAAAAATCGTAGGTTCGAGATGTGAGTGGGTTAATATCGTTTTATGAAAAGTTGAAAAATTGAAGATCTATCGCAGGTACCAATAATAATATTAATCATATCGCAATAAAAATAATATAAAATTTAATAGCGAATAAAAGTAGATTTATTTCTGTTTGGTCATAAGTATTTCAAGCAGTTTCTACTTCTAGTTGCATAGGATATTAGCATAATCTTCTGTACAATTTCTCGAGAATTTTCAGTAAATTAATTCCAAAATTTGTATTATATGTCACACGAGATAAATAAAATACAAATTTTGGAAAAACAAATTTATGTGTAGATATAGTAGTTACTGCTTGGAATTACTACGAGTAGAGGGGCTCGATGAATAAGCATACGTATACACAATACTGATAAAACTGATCCAGATTTATGAAAATAAAAAACAAACTCGTTAAATAAAATTTATTTCGTGTCTTAATATTTTACGAGCAATTTACCCGCAAAAAATAAATCATTGCGGCCATAAAAATGAATACGTTTTATACTAAACAACTTTTATTCGCTAAAATTCTATCTCCATACCTTTGGGCATATTGTGTTTTCGTTTATTCATTCTGCATTCGTTTTACGAATATTTTCAACAAATGTACTTTTTATTAATTTTATTTTTATTTTATTTTATTTTTCTTTTTTTTTCGAGTGACGTGATAATCCATGATTTTGAAAATTTGTCAGCATCGGATTTTTGTACAATAAATTACGGATTTGAGGGACAAGTTGTAGAGTGAAGAGTTTCAAGGGAATAAGGGCACGTTTGTGTGAGTATCCTTGGGGTGACGTTAACGTTAAACGAGATTGATTTATCGTGGCAATGGAATTGAAATTTATTTCGCTTGATGTGGTCGAAATTCGCGTATCGCATGAAATTTAGCGGTTTTAGCATTTAATAGAGTTGTACATTTAGTGCGACGTGCCCTTTGGTAGAATTTCATATGGGATTTTGATGTAGTTTAAATACGATGAAATACCGGTAACAGTTAATTGTTTTGACAATGATATACGTCAAATTTATATACGAATATTATTGATATAAATTCCACTTATAGTTAATTATTACTATTATATAGTAATAGTAATGTTGCTATTAACATTAATTAGAGAGATCTTGCGATGGATGTCTGCTCTCAGTATATTCTACCAATTGAGATACTAAGTACCTTGGATGTGCAATAAAGTACTTTTTCGTGTTTGCATATGCTTTATTACACGGGTAGTTGCGATTTCGAATGTAATTTGTATGCGTTATACTGAGTGGTGTTGCGTTCTGGCTGACATTTAGCTTCTGATTTTCTTTCAGTTCTGTATGATTTCTGTAATGTCTCGTCACGTTCTGTTCGGTATCTCCTGGAGTTTGTTTCGATTGGTCAAGAGTGGATGTTAGTGGAGGAAAAATGGACTTTTTGACTGGTTAAGAGTGACTGTTATTGGAGAAAAAATAGAGTTTTTGATTGGACGTGGGTGTTTCGGAAGGACCTCCGGTTGATGAGTACTGAGGAGTATTGAGGAGTCAGGGAAGTTGCCTTTTGGTATTATTTTAATAATCAATGTCGCAATTTATGGGTAGAGATCTGTTCGTCGCTTCGGTGGGTCAGTCACACGTGGGTCCAATATATTGGGTCTGGTTCTAGGTTGTAGGGTTGTACGTGTCCTGTGCTTTTGTGTTAATTATATTGCTTAAGAAGGATAGTAAGGCACGTCTAACTTTCTATATTGCTGTCTTAACAATTACTATTAAATATGTACACTATATTTAGGTACAATCGGCCGCATAACTGTTCGTCCATCTATCGCAGTAAAATTAAAATAAAAAATATAGAAATTAATCTTTATTAATACAAAACAAGTCGACATCATGTACATCAATAAGTAGTCCCAATCTTCGATCAAAATGAATCCACACCATATGTATTTCTATCTAATCACTTGCATCTCTCCTACCAACCACCCCTTATATTACCCAACGAATCGATCGCATCCAAGTAGACACTGAAAATTCAGACGAATCGCAATATGTCGTCACGTTTCCACGGTAGCCCGAATATCGGCCAGGCTATTAAGAATTTCGCGTGTTCACGGTTCACGTGTCGCATATTTAAGCAAGCCGAGTCAGCGGGAAAAATACGCAGGCGGCGCAGGAGCGGACGAAAAGCATGCGGAATATATACGGATTCGGCCGTATGGCGCCTTGTAAACGGGACCATCGACGAGTACCAGTTTTCGCGGTTGAGCTTCAACCCGGCGGAGCGTGAAACGCGTGACGCCCCGGTCATCGTTTCATTCATATCCCCGGACGATTTCGACGTTAAAGCCTCGCCGCGAAAATTCACGGCCCCTGAATTTTGGCCCGCGTCCAAAAGTCCCTAGGACTCGTCGCGCGTTCCGCGTCGGTAAGTGTCACGGTCGTGGCGTCCGTGTACGTTCCGTTGTTTGGAAAAACGCAATGGCGAACATATAGAAATTTCGAGTTTACCGTATTCGGCCCGTAGAGAGTTCTGTTAAACTTTTAAGCTGTGAGAATGGGCTCGAGGAGTTTATTGAAAAAATGGGA